CTTACAGTCCCTCACCCTAGTGTATGGATATGCCCAATAGCGATAACTGTTCCCATAGAAACCTAAAGAGGTGTAAGCGCATTGTGCCTGCATAGTGCAAGGTCACGCGATGCAGTGTGCTCTCCGCATCCACAACTCGCCGCAAGCATTCACATACACAAACAAAAACGACAGCAAGATGGCACGCAATTATCCGGCTGAGACCAGGGCTCAGAAAGTGTACGAAGAACGGTATGAGAAGGAACTGGTGGCTCAACTACGTTACTTTACCCAGCATCAGACGGAGATGGAGGGAGAGGGGCCCAACGTTGACTCATCACCTGCTACGGAAATTCGACGGCGCAGGATGAAGATTGTGTCAGACAGTCTTCTCAGACAATTTCTTGAAACACCAAAGACGAGGGATAGCGAAAGCGGAGGGGAGAATCAGTCACTGGATGGCCAACCTACAGAATCGGAGGCATGCCTGACCGCAGTGGATTTAAATGAAATGGCACCGGTAGACCCAGAGCTTAAAAACATTATTTACGAGGGCATCTCCCAAGAATCTATGGGCAGGTGAGTAGCGAAGGCGAACTGAATTCTAAGACTGATGGGTGACAGGCCAATAGTGGCTCATTTTGTAGGAAATAAAAACGGCGAATTCGGTTTATGTCGGATGCGTCAGTGCATGCAGCCTAGGAGAGTCCTGGAAGGCATATGACTATAAATTTAAATTCGACTTTTTTATGCGTCATGAGATCGTCTCTTGAAGATACGTTTTATACAAGAGCACATTCCACCACCAAAATAGCTAGTTGAGTCGGCATCTTATGCCGAGGGTGAAAATGTTGAAAATATAGGCAAAAAACCTTCTCCAGAAGAAGAAGAAAGTTCGACGGTTAGAATAGAAAGTTTATTGGCCGGAGGTTTCAAATTCTCGCACGAACCCATCGTCTGCTCTCGTCTCTGGTGGTGAGTTCGAGCAAGAAGCCAAAACCTCAGGCTAATAAACTTCCTGTTCCAATGATTGCATATTGTTCTTCTGAACTGGGTCCAGGAATTTGCTTAAAATAATGCTTTGCTATAGATGAAATATATGGGACAGAGAGACTCTTTTTTATCTTATAACTTAACAAG